TAGTTCTTTCTTCTGTCTATCTAGAATGATTTTTCGGCTCTATCTTTGCTAACTTTCAAGCAAATTCTGAGTAGGAAGATTGATTCCAGACTCTACACATGGCAGTAATAATAGCTAGCATTTACTGAACACATACAATGTGTCAGACACTCTTCTGAGTGTTTTGCATTTATGTACTCATTTCATTATCACAGATTTATGAGATGTGAGTTGTTATTGTCCTGATTTTATGGGTGGGACAACTGAGGTACAACTATGTTAAATAAGTTGCCTAAGGTCACACAGCTGTGAAATGGAGAGCACCAATTTAAATTCTGGCGGTCTGTCTTTAGTTTCTCTACTTGTACTTGTGGTTCCAAATATACTTCCTGTGTTGCTTATGATTGACCGAGGAACTGGATAGGACTAAACTTCAGTGTGATGCCCCCCTTACCAATGATATGACTAGCAGCAATTGACACAGTCAGCATTGGAACACTATCTAGCATCCCATCTTGGGGCAGTATTTCTATGATGTATGGTCACTAGAACATTTGATTAAAGAGTGGCTTAAATTGGTCTTTTAGTAAGATTAATTTGTCAGTGATTCACAGTCTGTTTTAGATTGGAAACCATTTAGAGGCAGAGAGATCAGTTAAGCTTTTGTACTTTTCCTGGCATGATCATAAGGGAGCCTGGTTCACAGAAGAGGAATCAGCTGTGTGGTCGTGCAGTGGAAATTTGAAGTAGAACCCATACATTTTATTTACTCCTGGCTCTGTTGCTTAATAGCTGTATTACTTTAGCATTTTTAGACCTCAGATTTATCATCTATAAAATAGGGGCAGTTGAATAATATAATCTCTTGGGACTCAAGTTTAACTCTAATATACTATGATATTTCTGAATTGAATGTCAGCTGTTTGAAAGATAATAAATATAATAAAAATGGAGGCATTATACTCTAGATGTTGATTTTGGAGTTATCTGAATGGAAGTGATAGTTTGAATTGTGCATAAGGGTGAGATACAAAAGAGTGAGCAGGTCTCAGTGGTAAATATTTTCACATGAATGTTCTATAAGCATCACAAATTCAGTATGTCCAACACTGATTTTATTTTTCCTGTAAAATATACCTTTCCCCCCCCCTCTGAATTTCCTATCTTCATTAATCTCTTACCACTCAAGGCGCAGATATTTGGAGGATCATATTTGTTCTCATTTACCTTAATCCAGTGGATACTTATATTTTATTTGTTTTAACTTGTTTATCATTTCCCTAAACCTTCCTTTTCTCCACTGGCACTGCTGCTGTTTTAGTTGAGACAATCTTTAACTGTTTCTTAACTAGACTCTAACTGAAGCCTGACTTCTACTAATACTTACACTTCTCTTTTTGATACACAAATTTGAGTGTACTTTCCTATTAGCCTTATAGTGAAGTTCTGAGCATGAAAGCTTCAGCATGCCAATCAAGATCTTCCCTGGAAAGACCGTTGCTCTCTCCTCAATTTCATTTTTGATTCTTAAACTTTGTGCTCTACATTTCAGTGATAGGAGACCACTGATGTTCTCATATCATTCTCATCTTGCTTCGTACTTCTTTGCTTTTGCTCTGTCTTGAATCTCTTGGCTCTCCTTCCCCTGTTAATTCCTGCTCTTCCTGCAAAACCAAGACCACTGGATAACACAAGTCCATTATATTATTTTCACTACTTCCTTGCATTGTGGTTTAGTCCTTCATGGTGGCGTAGTCCTTTGTGGCACTGCGTCATTTAGAAGTCGCTTTTCTAAAACTTTTCAGAGTTCTTTAAACATTTGCTTTCATGTGTTTTCTGGAAGACTTAGCACAGTACCTGATAATGTTTAGCTCAGGCACCCTTTTCACACATCAAATGATTAGAAATGGTACATTTGATATTTTACTGTTATTTCTTAGTCTGATGATTACGGTCTTTAATTTAGTCCTGAATGTCTAAGTGGAAGGTTTTGAAAACTGGTTGACTTTACTACTGGTTTGTTGTCTAGCCTCTTCAGCTTTACAGATACTCTTAAATTGGAGATTACATTTTTAACATCAGCATTGAAATTGTGTACTTTTAAATGTTATTGGAAAGAAAGAAATGTGGGCTGGCTATGGTGGCTCACACTGTAATTTCAGCACTTTAGGAGGCCAGGGTGGAGGATGGCTTGAGGCCAGAAGTTTGAGACCAGACAAGGCAACATAGTGAGACCCTATCTCTACAAAAAAATAAAATAAATTAGCCAAGTGTGGTAGTGCCTGTAGTCCTAGCTACTTGGGATGGCAAAGTGGAAGGATCTCTTGATCCTAGGAGTTCAAGGCTTGCAGTAAGCCAAGATCACACCACTGCACTCCAGCCTGGGTGATAAAGTGAGACCCTGTCTCTAAGAAAAAGCAAAAGAAGAAAAAAAAGAATGTGGCCTAGTTGAAATGATATGAATATTTTTCCCCTTACAGCTCATCCTCTTACCCCATGGTATGTTTATAGTGTGAATGAAACTTGAAAGGAACATGCTACTGTAAGTGAACCAGAATATTCATTTTATGTGTGGATTGGTTATACTACCTGCAGAAATATTCAAATAGGGCCACTTATTTCATTTTAGACTTTAGAGGGAAAGGTTTATCCTTTATAATATCACAAAGATCTACTTCAGTAGGTTTTCATGAGGAGAAATATAACTTAATTACAATCTTGATGACTAATGATGTTACAGTTGATCATCAGCCATTCCTTCTGCTCTCTGCATTGAAATCTTAGTGTTTGTTCTAAATACTACACTACATTTTTTCTATAAAAAAATTACTGCAACATTCACAGGCAAAAATTATAATTACCTAATGGCAGGTCATCAGCTCCGAACTTTGAGCTTAGCAAATTTCACTGTCTTCTACCAAAGCAATTGAATATCTCAGCTGATAACTATTTCAGCAAGTATCTTTAATGAATACAAATTACAGGTAAGAAAATTTTCTTGTTTTCTAAAAGTGTTAATGATGTTTTAGTAGTTGTAGTTCAATTTATTAATTTTAAAGTATACTTTTATAGTTAAAAATTTTAGTGTTTATTTTCATGATGAATTTATAACTCAGTGAAACTTATAGTGTGCTTTGCTGAATTTATTTTATTTGTTTTTCTAAATGTTTTCATTAATTATTATAATTTGTTCCCAAAGAGAATATTAGTATGGTAAAAGGTGCAAAACAAGATTAGAATCATAGGCTTCATAGACTAGCATTAAGAAATGCTAGTTGTTTCAATAACTTACTATGTTCTCACCTAACAGTTTCTTAGCCAGAAAAATTAAGAGTAATAAAAACCTGTGTCACCATCCTCCAGTGCAGAGAGTTTAAGAGGACTCAGTTTCCTCAATTGAAATGTTAGCAATAATTAAACATACATAACAGCTATTATTTTAATTGTTGCATAAAATTAATTCATTATAATAGCCATATGTGAAAATGATTAGCATGGTAATATTTTAAAGTAAGAATATAAGGTTTTACTTTGTTACAACAGTAAACTGAGAGGGAAAAGTCTTTTATAAAATATTTAAACTGCTTTGTCACCAATTTGATTCATAGTTTTTAAAACTGAATTTAAAATTGAATACTTATAAATAAAAATCAGTTGTAATATACAAATTTATTTCAAGATTTTATTTATTTGATGTTTACTTTTTGCATAGGCTAATTTTTCATGTTTTCTCATTACTTTGTACATATTCTTTTAAAACTGTTATTTTCCCTTATACTTCATTAAAGCAATGAAGTTGTACTGTATACTTGATATATTTATGAATATTGTTGTCGACAATTAAATACTGAAGACAGTTACAAAAATCTTTACTTCAAGAAAAGATTGATGTTTGTGTATTTTGTCAGTTTTGTACACATTTTATTCATTTTTTAAACTTTTAATTTTTTTATTTTGTTATACAATTCAGGGTTAGGTATACAAATGATCATTATGCAGGTACCCTTGTTGAAGAGGTGTGCCCCTCTTCCCCAGGCAGACTCCCACTACTACCAGTCCTGCTTCCCCGCCCCCCTCCCAGCAGTTTCCCACTACTACCAATCCTTTTCTTATAGAATTTTGTTTTATTCATTTTTAATTTGTTTAACAAATTAGTTGTAAGTTATTGTAATACACTACCAATATAGTGGTTCTACAAAAAAAGGGCATAGTCTATTTTAAGTTATTTGCAATTTTGTGTAATAACGTAAATATAGATAATTTTGCAGTTTATTACTATTAATATCTAGTAAAACATTAGCATTTATAGCCCTAAGTTTAAAAATATGCCCTGAAAGAATGGTAAAGAAGGATGATGTTTGCCAACTCTGCATTTCATTAACTACCCATGAGAATAACTTTTAGGATGGTTGGCATTTCTATCCTATTAGATATCTTTATTATTGTCAATGAAATTTAAGGCAAGATAGTTGTTGCTTATGTTGCTTATGTTAAACATATTATTATTTAGGTATCCAGAATAGGTTAATTTTAATATATATTAAGGTGGCATTATTATATTGAACTTCACAATAGTTAAAATCTTTTTCAATTTTAAGTCCTATAATAGTGAATATTGATTTATATTACTTATATAAGCATATAACCTGCTTTTATGTGTGAAAGAGTAATTCTTTTTTGAAACTGTTTTACTAATGTCTTTTATTTTAAATTGTGCTTAGCAACAAAGAGAATACTTTTTAAGTGCCCTTGTTTTTTTAGAGAAGGAAATAACATGTTTTAAATAACATTTATTGTGTAATAGCATTATTAATATTAATAACATTTATTGAATCTGCTGTTTATTCTCATACATTTTATTTTTACCTTAAAATATTTACATAGGTCCATTTGCTATTGCAATATAAAATGTTCATTGGTTTCAATTTACATTTTAATTATTTTAGGCATGCAAAAAAGAACTTTCATGTTTTACTATCATAAACATAAATAAAACATTAAACAATTATTTTGTTTTTAAGATTAAAAAATGAAACTTCCACCAAGAAGCAAGAACCTGTATCTAAGGTAAAGTTTATTTTATTTCATGCTTTAAGGGTTTATACATTTGAAAGTATTATTTGTGTGATTTAAAAAATTTTTTTCAATTTCAGTATGCATACATCAATAATAACTGGTATGTTATCAGGAAGAAAAAAATGAAATTTAAAAATTTTAATTGGATATAAAGATATCTAACCCTAAGTAAAATTGTAAGGTGTTTTTATTTTGACAAAGACATTATATATTTTACTTGCCTGTTATTTATTTCCACTAGTGACTAATGGAGATAATTTATGAATGAAAAATTCTGAAATCAGTAAAACCTCAATTATTTGACACATTGGAAAATTAATCTTTCCACATGTTTTAACTTTTTCTGATATTTAAATTGTCAAAAAGTTTTAATTAATTTTTAAAATAGAAATATTTTGAATATATAATAAATATGTTTCAGCTATCTTAAACAGGTATGATGAATATAAGACTCAGAATTATAAATGTTATTTACTGGACAGTCTAATAGTTGAGTGTAGAAATAGTTTTGCTCAAGTATTTGCTTTCTTTTTTTTTTTTTTGAGTTGGAGTCTCACTCTGTCGCCCAGACTATAGTGCAGTGGCCGCTCCCAGCTACCGCAGCCTCGACCTGCTGGGCTCCAGCAATCCTTCCGCTTCAGCCTTCTGAGTAGCAGGAACTATAGGCGCGCACTACCATGCCCAGCTCATTTTGATTTATTGTAGAGATGAGGTCTTGCCAAGTTGCCCAGGTGGGTCACGAACCCACGGGCTCAGGCAATCCACTCACCTCAGCCTCCCAAGCGTGGGATTACAGGCTGAGTCACCGAGCCTGGCTTGCTTTCTTGATGTCAACTTATTTTGATAACACTTAATATTATTTGCCTCTTTTTTAGTATAATGAAGTGAGGCAGGTTTGACATTTACTTTTTGAGCACAATTTAATAAGTGAAATCGAGGCAGAAGTAGCAGTCTTCTTCCAAGCAGCTATTATACCATGGAAAGTTTTCTTTTGTTTCAGAATTTTTATTTTTTGAATCAGGGTCTCACTCTGTCACCCAGGCTGGAATACAATGGCATGACCATAGGTCACCACAGTCTGCAACTCCTGGGCTCAAGTGATTCTCCTGCTTCAGCCTCCCGAATGGCTGGGACTACAGGTGTGTGCCAACACACCTGGCTAATTTTTTTATTTTTTGTAGAGACAAAGTCTCAATATGTTGCCCAGGCTGTTCTTGAACTCCTGGGCTGAAGCAATCCTCCTGCCTCATCCGCCCAAAGTGTTGGGATTACAGGTGTGAACCACCATGTCTTACCTATTTTCTTTTGTTTAAAAGTTTTTCACTACAAATAAATCTTTAATACACAGAATTTTTGTTGTTGTTGTTTATGTTTCTTTTTGTGAGTTTTGGTAGTTTGTGGTTTTCAAAGAATTGGCATAATTTGTCTTAGATGTTGAGCTCTATAATCATATATTTAGAGTTGTTTATGGTATTCCTTATTATCCTTTTAATGTCTAGGGGATAGGTAATGATAACGCCTCATTCATTCCTGATATTGATGATTTATATGTTTTTAAAAAAATCTATTATGGTCATATATTTTACTTTTATATATGTTATGAAGACAAAATTCAGTGTTACAATTTTGCTTTAGGCAGTTGTTTTGTAGAGCAATTAAGAATATAAAAAATTAACTTTGTATTCACCTTCATTTTATTATTTTCTATGTTCTTTTTTTATGCTATTTTCTGTTTTCTATGCTCTTCATTTCTGTTTCTACTACATTTACATTAAAAATTCCCCTGGCCGGGGATATGATGATGTAGCAAATATGGCAGGTATATACAGTATTGTATAAGCCAGTATTTTCTACTTAAAATAAGTATGACAAATTTGTACTTTTCTTAACTCATAATCATAATTTAACATGAAAAATGTAGCATCTGTGAATTTCAATGTGATCATCTTTTTTAGTATTTTATACAGCATATATAAAGAGGCAGAAGAATTCTTAATGAATAAATGGAATATTTTTGTCTGTTCTAAACACATTAAAATCACACATAGATACCCAATGGACATCAAGGTCAGATGCAATCAAGACACTTTGCTCACAAATTGTAGATATTTATCAAGTATTAAAAGATACGATATCAAATGATAAAATGCATTATACTGAAATTGAAAGGACATTGGTACAAGTAGATTACAAATTTTCATGCAGATTATCTATCTGTATGGAATGGTATTTTGAACCAAGTAGACGTTAAAGCTTTGCAATCAGAAAACACGACTGTATGCACAGCTATATGTTAAATAAAAGGCCTGTTGTTTTCATTTGCTTACAAGAAAATGAAAGTAATCTTGAAAGTATATTGTAAATATATTTTGAAAGTATATTTTAGCAAGAGATGTGCATAGTTTCTCAACTTTGAAAATAAATAAAAAAGAAAAATAAATCAAGAATACATGAATCACTAGGTGAAGAATATCAATAGTTATGAGGAAAATGCTTATCAATAGAAATTAAGATTATAAATTCTGTATTTTAAATAGAGATGTGAAAAATTGAATGAAATACATCCGGATTTTGAATTTTTTAAACTAGAGAAATGTTATTTTCTAAAATACATCTGATTTACAAAAAGCAGCGACTGAACTGACATTTAAATATTCTGACAATTTACATCTCTAGAAATTTCTTGTGAAGTCCTTTAAAGCAGCATATGATATCAGTAACTTGTAATATAAAATCAAGATTGTGTTTAGAGCTTCTAAACCTTATGAATAGATTTTGCTTAGTGTAATCTTATACAGATGTGAAAATGGTATTCATAATTTGTTGCATTGTGGCATCCTGCAAAAAAAGTTTTAGTAAACTGAAGTTAATTTAAAAAAAATTTTTTTTTTTGAGGTGGAGTCTCACTCCATCTCTCAGGCTGGAGTGCAGTGGTACACTTATGGTCACCCCAGCGTTGACCTGCTGGGCTCCAGTGATCCTTCTGCCTCAGCCTTCCAAGTAGATGGAACTACAGGCGCATGCTACTGTGCCCGGCTAATTTTTAAAAAATTTATTGTAGAGATGAGGTCTCACCAAGTTGCCCAGGCTGATCTCGAACCTGTGGGCTCAGGCAATCCACTCTCCTCAGCCTCTCAAATTGCTGGGATTACAGGCTCAGCCACCAAGCCCGGCCAATTTAAAATATTTTAAGATTGTCACTTAATCAAGATAAATTGTCAAACATGGCAGTTTGCTCATTTGAAAACAAGATAAGAAAGGACTAGCTTTTAAAATGTATTGTTGATGTGTTAGCCTCCATCAAAGGCAGGAAAGTAAAATTATGTTTTTAGCAGAAATAAAATGTTTAAACTTAAATTGTATTGTGAGTTTCAATTCACTTATTTTTAATTTTTCAAGATTTTTTTGGACTACTATGATGTTCTGGGAAAAAATGTAAAAACATAGGCACGCACTTTTTTCTTTTGCCTCAGGCTCTAGTGGTCCTGTTTGCTGAATCATGAACTTCTTTTTTCTTGGTTTACCCACTGTTTTGATGAGCTGTGTCCTCCACTAGCTTCCTCAGAAGGAATGCATTTTTTTTTAGTCCTTGCATATCTAAAAATACATTTACTTGAATGATAGGTTGAAGTACATAGAAAACAATTTTCATGCAGTTTAAAAAAATACTGTTTTACTGTTTTCTTATCCAGTAGTGTTTTTATTAAGTCTGATGCAAGTTTTGCTGCAGTTTCTTGGTATTTTGATTACTTTGTTCTTTTGGGAAACTTGAGTAATCATCTCTGTCTCTGGTGTTTTGAAATTTTATAATATAGTTTCTCACCATCCTTTCTTCATTCATTATGGTAGGCATTTGACAAGCCTTTGCGGTTTAGAGCTTTCTGTTTGGAGAAAGTTTTCTTATATTACTTCTTTAATAAATTTTCACTTTTACTTTTTCTTTTCTCTTCTTTTAGAAACTACTGTTGTTCTGACACTGATCCTCCTGCATCAACTCTTATTTGTATGGTATTTTCTTTCTTGCCTTCTATCTTTTTTGTTTCAATCTTTTTGAAAATATACTTTTAAACTTACTTATTTTGGTTGTCATATTTATAATCTTTTTTTAAAGTGGGGTCTCACTCTTGTCACTTAGGCTGGAGTTCAGTGGCATGATCACAGCTTACTGCAGCCTCAACCTCCTGCGCTCAGGTGATCCTTCTGCCTCAACCTCCAGAGTAGCTAGGACTATAGACGTGAGCCATCGTGCCTGAATAATTTTTTAAAATTTTTTATATTTTTTGTATAAAGTTGTAAAAAATTTTTTGAGTTGAAGTTTCACTCTGTCACTCAGGTTGGAGTGCAGTGGCACGCTCCGGGTTACCACAGCCTCGACCTGCTAGGCTCAGGCAATCCTTCCGCCTCTGCCTTCCAAGTAGCCAGAAGTACAGGCGTGCATTGCCACACCCAGCTAATTTTTTGATTTATTGTAGAGACAAGGTCTCACCATGTTGCCCTGGCTAGTCTCGAACCCGTGGGTTCAGGCAATCCTCTCGCCTCGGCTGTCCAAAGTGCTGGAATTATAAACTTGAGCCACCATGCCAAAAATAAAGATTTTTATCTTTAAAAATCTCACTTTGTTGCCCAGGTTGGTGTCAGACTTACAGCCTCAAGTGATCCTCATGCCTCAGTCTTCTAAAGTGCTGGGATGGCAGGCGTGAGCCACCGTTCCTGTCCCCCATGTTTGTAATTTTGAAGAGTACTTTAATTTTTTATTTGTCCTCCAATTGTTCTGTTGTATAGTTTTTTTTGTTATTGTTTAATGGGTATAATAACATTTCTTTTGGGAGATACTAAATAAATACATTTTTTATTTTGTTCCCAACAGTGTTTCTGATGTCTCCAAGCTACACTCTTATTATTTGCCACTTATTTATTTATTTAGGTCTTTTTTATGTTAAAGAATGTCTTTGGTTGTGTGGTGATCCTTGGCTTCCCAAAAGTAATTAAAGAATGAGACTGTGTGTTTGGATGGGGGACAGGGTTGGCTTGTATAGCTATATAGGTTTTGTACTGCAGAACTCCAATGGACACCTTTTATATATATCCCTTTTGTAGTCTCAAAATTATTGATGTTTGCCATATTACAACCATATTAGAAAATAAAATTGTGGTATTTAAAAAGTACATATTGTCAAAAATAACAAAAAAAGTTAACATAAATAACATTATTTTTTCTGATAAATATTTTCCAAAACAAAAGAAATCTAGTGTAAAGATTGGCATTGTTTTATACTTTTGCATATCTTTTAAACCTTGAGCTTAATAGAAGACTGGATTCTTATGTCTCTGAACTTTATTAGGTGTTTTGGTTGAAATATCTGAAAAATATACGGTCTCACTTAAAACTTTAATAATCTTTTCAGATAACTGAGATTAATCTTTGATCCCACAGCAAACCTAAACAAGTGGAAGTTTTCTTTGTTTGACTCCATATCACTGACCTCTTTTATACTTTGTTACATCAAAATCTATTTGTCTGTTTTACACTTTAAATGGATTTTTTTATCCATACATGATTTGAAACATTGTACCTTGGTCATTTGGAAAATACTGACTCAGTGAGTGATATAGATCTTCCAAACACTGACACATTTAATTATATAATATCAAGCAATCACTTTCATTAATATTAGCATTAATCTAATCACTGATGGATATGAATTTTCCCAAAGAATAATTTTTGCTTGATTTTATTACTGGCAACAAATACTGTCAGCCGTTTTTCTTGATGTGACAGGCTCACTGTCAATTTTCAAGAAAATATCTACTAAATACCCAAGTCTAAATGTCCAGTTTGACAGTCTTTTTTTTGTTTGTTTTTGAGCTAGAGTCTTGCTCTGTCACCAATGTTGGAGTGCAGTGATGTGGTCATAGCTCACTGCAGTCTCAAATTCCTGGGCTTAAGCGATCCTCCCACCTCAGCTTCCTGAGTAGGTGGAACTACAGGCACACATCACCATACCTGGCTAATTTTTTTATTTTTGTAGAGACAGGGTCAAGTTATATTTTCCAGGCTGGTCTCGAACTCCTGACCTCAAGTGATCCTCCCACCTTACAGTCATTCTATAAAGTGAAATTTTTGTTCTATTAAAAAAAAAGCTCACAACTCAATTACAGATCCAAATATTTTCAGTATGCAACAATAGCGCTTTAGGCATACTTTCCATTTTGTCACACAAAATATTAAAACAAATATAAGCTCATAGATTGAGGTTTAATAAAGTTTTACTGTGCAAGTGTGGTGGTGAAAAACACAATGACTACTAGTACAGTTTGAATTTGGTGCCACTGCCTTGATTCATGTTAAGGTGCCAACATTTTTACTTACTATATTTTTGTTTTGTCTTGTTTGAGACAAGAACTTGCTCAGCCACCCAAGCACAATCAAAGCTCACTGCAGCCTCAAATTACAGGGCTCTAATGATCCTCTTGTTCCTACTTCCCAAACAGCTAGGGCTACAGACATGCGCTACCATGCCCAGCTAATGTCTTTATTTTTTGTAGTGAAGGAATCTTGACCTCTTGACCTCAAATGATTTTCCTGCCTTGGCCTCCGAAAATGCTGGGATTACAGGCATGAGTCATCACACCAGGCCTCACTACTATTTTTACAATGAGTTGTGACCTCACATACCTCCTGAAAGTGACTTGGATTCCCCAATTGTCCATGAATCACACTTGAGAACTGTTAACATGAATTAAAATGTGAAGATTTCCTCCTGGATTTGTACTCTACAACCTGCACAATCTGCAAGGGAATCATTTATACTTCAGTGTAGGAAATCAGGTGCTGACCTGACTGATTCTTTGTTGAGGAGGATGCTCTTAAAATATTTATGGAAAATCTTTTTTTGGGGACTGATAATTTTCTCCAGAGAGGAATGTTTTAGATTCTAGCAAAGGGTGGTAGGATGAAGGGTGAGTCCTCTGGCTGCTGGCAGTCTGGGAACCGGAGATTGTGGGCCCCTCTGTTCAGTTGGTATGTGGACTTTTACTAAGTCTTCCTGTTTTCTTTAAGTGCCTCATGCCTGCCTTTTGCTGTTCCCAGAGTTCACAAATCTAGACTGTCTCCAGTTGAGAAAGCTAACCTTTAGCCTCTTTGGTAGGGGAAGGGAGGGTTATTTTTGTGTGAGTTGGGAAGAAGGAGCATTTCATTTTCCCAGCAATCCCTGTCCTTCATTTTTATCTTTTATGTATTAATGCTACATATTGTACTGGCTTCCTCCAAATGCCAGACGTTTTAGGTTCTCTGGGCAAATTGACTCTCCACCACTGGCATTTCATCGTAACTTCCTCCATACTGCTGAATGAATTACCAGTCCTCTAACCCAGCCATCCCCAACCTTTTTGGCAACAGGGATTGGTTTTGTGGAAGACAATTTTTCTACAGACCTGGATTGGGGGGAGGGAATGTGCAGTCAAACCTCTCTGCTAATGTTAATCTGTATTTGCAGCTTCTCCCCATCTCTGTCTGATATCAGTACCTTGGCTCCATCTCAGATCATCAGGCATTAGATTCTCTTAAGGAGAACGAGCCTACATCTCTCACATTTGCAGTTCACAGTAGACTTCGCGCTTCTTTGAGAATCTAATACTGCCACTGATCTGACAGCAGATCAAGCGCCACTCAGTGTTGCCCACCTCCTTCTGTGCCATCTGTTTCCTAACAGTACACAGACCCATATGGGTTCACTGCCTGGGGGTTAGGGACCCCTGCTGTAACCACTTTCCATCTTTAAAAAATTTATTGAAACCTCTTTAGCAATTAGTATGCTTTGGTGTTTTCTTGGTCTTTATGAGTGAAAATCTTTTATTTTTTTGGCTTCATTTTAGCAGGGTTTTGGGAGGAAAAGTAGATAAATATGTGTGATTAATATTCTATTACCAATTTCATAGACTTGAGTCAATCTACTATAGTGGTTAATAGCTAGATCTATATTTGAACCTTTACCACTTATTGTGATAAGTGGTTCTTTACTTAACCTACTCGTTAAGTTAACCTTTCTTGTTTGTAAACATAGTGTTTATAATATTTACATAAAGATGAAATGAGATAGTTAATGTAAAGTTCTTAACATAATTGCCTTATGCATCGATATGGTCAATAACTGGCAACTGATATAACTGTTAGGCTGGCCTCTGGCTTCTTGAGGTTTTACTGTATTCTTTCCTCTTCATAAAACATTTGAAATAAGCAGAATATTTCTTTAACATATCTATTGTTTCATATTCTTGGTTAGATAGTGGGAGGGTTATCATGGATCTAAATATGAAATCATAAATTCAGAAATACTTTAAGTATCTGTACTTAATATGTTTATATAAGATACTGTAGATTCATCTTATTATTCAAATTTGAGTTTTTTATTCAAGTAATTTTAATTATGACCCACATTTGAAATAGAGATTAAGAAAAGTAAGTGTTAATATAACTAGGTAATTGCTTCTTGACCTTGATTCAGAAACTTTTGGTAAACTGAAATTCTTACAGGTTTAAAAAAATGTAATTCTTCTTTTAATTATGAGAATTATTGTAGTACATCCTTTGTATTTAAAAAAAAATTTTTTTTGTTATATTATGTCGGCCACTTAAGTTCCTTTTATCCAGAAAGTTTAGTATAGTAAAATGGTTTCCTTTAAGCTTAACCATGAATGTAATAGCAAAGTATTATTAATCATTTCAGGAAATTGCAAGCCCCAATACGATTGAAGGAGGAGCATCAAATTCTGAAAGGTAAATATAAGGAAAAACAGAATCTCTTGAATTTCCATTATATAATAACTCTTGAGCTGTATTATTTTCAGTTACTTGGTAAAGGGTTATTTGAATTTTTGTATATAGTATTACTTTCTTTTTTTTTTTTTTTTGAGTTGGAGTCTCACTCTGTCACCCAGACTGGAGTACAGTGGCCGCTCCCAGCCACCACAGCCTCGACCTGCTGGGCTCCAGCGATCCTTCCGCCTCAGCCTTCCGAGTAGCCGGAATTACAGGTGTGCGCTAACACGCCCGGCTGATTTTTTTTGATTTATTGTAGAGATGAGGTCTCGCTGCCCAGGCGGGTCTCGAACCCGCGGGCTCAGGCAATCCACTCACCTCAGCCTCCCAAAGGCGCGGGATTACAGGCTGAGCCACCGAGCCCGGCTTAGTATTACTTTCAGTAATGGCTTTTAAGTAAAATAAAAATTTTAAATATTAATTCAACAGAAATATACTCCAGATCCTTGGATTTTAAATCTTTTAAACATATAGAGTATATTTTATAAGTTTCTAAATTTTTAAAAACATACTTACTAGTAACTAAAATGTTAACAGATTTTATTTGCACCTATTAAATGAAAACAGTTACAAGATGCTTCATGTTACAAGAAGGGGACAATTACTGCAAAGTGATAATCTTAAGATTTATTTATTTATTTATTTATTTATTTATTGTAGAAATGAGGTCTCGCCAAGTTGCCCAGGCGGGTCTCAAACCCGAGGGCTCAGGCAGTCTACTCACCTCAGCCTCCCAAAGCATAGAATTACAGGCTGAGCCACCGAGCCCAGCTAAGATTTTTTTTAAAAACATTTTCAAAAAGCTGTAAGACTGCTTCTGTGGTGAGATTTCAATATAAAAGTCTCAAAATTCAGAGATTTTTTTTTAAATTTTAGTGCTTAGGCGGAACACTAAGGAATACAAGGTGTTTCGCAATCCTTTTTAGCAAAAGAGAATCCCAACATTCTAATTAGAACTTTATTCCAGATAAAGGTAATGTTATTTTGTCCTTTAAGTAATTTTCCTCATTTCTATCTTTATACTATATATTTTACAGTGGATTACTTGGAAATCTGTTGAGATTAATAATCTCTTGCCCCTAAAAAGCAAATTATGGAATAGGTTCTTATGAAAGTATTTCTTCGACTTCACTAGTAAAGTTACCAAGCCCTTTCTTCACCTAGCATTTTTTCTAGAGTTCTAGGGGTAAAGTTAACAAAAATTCAACTAAGGAGTTAGCAAATGCAGACCAGTTAGTCATCTCTATGCATTTTCTGTAAATTGTAGTTAGTGCAATATAATCTGAACAAAAATAAGAACTATACAAATTTGAAATGAGAAAATTATTATTTTTTGTTATGATATAATTGACCAATAAGATTCAAGAAATGAGTAACGATTAAAATTTATGAGAGTGTTAACTAAAGTAGGTTGGTGTAAAAATCAGAATCTTTCTAATATACTAGTAACATTATTACAAAATATAATGGACATATTCATTCACATAACAAAAATGAGAAATGTGCAGGACCTAAATGAAGAAAAGCAAAAATTTGCTGTGACAGAAAATTAATAGATTAACTTGGATGATAGATTATTTTATAAATTAATTTGTAGATTTAATAAAAATTTATGGGATTTATTAAATAATATATTTAGTCATTCCTCTGTTATTGGATATTAGGTTGTTTCTATACCTTTTTAAACACTTTTAGTGAGCATCCTTGACACATATCTTTTACATTTTTAAACTCTGAAATTATGGAGAAGAATTGTAGAATGTAAGTGATTTATTCTACTAGATAATAAAGTACAATGTTAATAATTGTTCAAGCTGTGTACTGTTAACCTAGAAATAGTCTAAAGACAGATCAGTAGAATGAAATAAATGAGATAAATAACCTTATACAAATAATAATTTAGTAAATAATAAATGACCATTTGAAAAATGTTGCTAGGAAATTTGTGCATTCATTGGACAGATGCGTAAGTTTCAAGTGGATTAAATGTAAGAAATAAAGTATATATAATCATTAAATTTATTTTTGGTATAATAAGCATCCTTACTTAGATCTAGATACATGACTGGAGATCTTGGAAATCTTCTGTTTTTATTATTTTGTGATTTGCTGAATAGTTTCTGTTAATATACCAGAATCAGAGTAAACATAGAAACACACACACATAAATATATATGTATACAAACATATGTACAAGCACATAGATATGTATATATGTAGTATATTTACATGGTTTTTTTTTAGGCATGTGTTTATGTTTTTTGAATTAGGATATTAAAAATTAGGAAAATGTTTGTGAATGCTTATCTGATTTTGTATAGGAAAAGACATTTTAATAAGAATATATATAAATCATAAAATAAACATCTTTTCAAATATAGTTTTTATTTTAAGTAGTTACAAATTCATAAGAACTCTCTTAAATTTTAACTAAAAATAGGCAAGAGATATGAACAGATGAAAACAATGACAGCCAGAACTAAAACCAGTCGATAGATTTCCCAGGTCTCCTTTTAATATGTGACTCCAGGGTTTCTCAGAATCTTACGTAAGAAATTGGCCTCTTCCTAAATTGTAACATCATGGCAAGGACTGGGGACTTGGATTTGCTTTCCTTTTTGGTGAGCAATTATACCTTGACCTTTGTTACTTTTTAGAGCATGTCTGTATTTTGATAATGATTAAAAGCATTGTTTTATGAAGGAATAGATAATAAATGGCTTTATGTTTTCAGTAAACAAGATAAAGTTGCTTCTTCAGAAGAAAAAAATGGAGGTGATGCAAATTCATTTGAAGTGTCATCAGCAACAAAAAGTAAAGAAAGCATAGAATCAGTTTCAGATAAGGAAAATGATACCTGTCTTACAGACCTGGAAACTTGTTCAAAGAAAATCTTCAGTTGTGATTCGAATATTGGTGCAGATAAAGTGGAGAAGGAAAAGCAAACACAGCATGTTTGTCAGGAAATGGAGTTGAAGATCTGCCAAAGTTCAGAAAATATAATTTCATGTGATCAGATTAAAGATCACAGCTCCAGTGAGACAAGGCTTTCTTCGAAGAATCTGCGGTTAATATCAGGTGATGTTAGCATTGCTCAGTTTTTGAGACAAAGAGATGAGCCTGAATCTGTTAGTTCTGATGTTAGTGAGCAAGGCAGTGCTCATTTGGAACCTCTGACTCCCTCAGAGGTACTTGAATATGAAGCCACAGAGATTCTTCAGAAAGGCAGTGGTGATCAGTCACCTTCAGCCAAGATGGATGAAGTAGTATCTGATCAAACAGATGACTTTCCTGGAGGAAATAACCCTAGCACAACAGAAACAGCAATAGACCCAGCAGAAGAAAAAGAAAGAAGTTGAAATCAGTCATTCTAAGTTTTAGTGTACCAATGGTAAGAACAGTTGGAACAGTGCTATGAGGTGAACTCACTAGTGCTGTTATAGAGCTCAGAAACAGAAAAATGTGAGGGAGGTATCATATACTTTGCCTATAGGTTCAACCTAGGTTATTAAACAAATTGATTCACCAAATATAGCATGACTGGTATTGATTTCCAAAAAGTTTTAAAAACATGAACAAGATTTTAATGAAGGTTAAGTTTGCACTGGAAAGGTCTCATTTCAGTTTTTCAGGATATGGGAATTGATTGCTGATAAGAATTGATTAAAAGAATATTAATTACATTAATAACACTTTTCAAAGTTCCATCAGTCCTATGCTAAAATCCTTATTACCCATATCTTATTTTTAGTTAATTCAGAGGAAGAGATTTGGAAATCATGTACCTTTTGGGAATAATTGATTTAAAATAATGACTGATTGGCATTGTTAATGAAAGTTTATTTTGAGTATGATGCTGCTAAATGGAGCATGCTTAGAGTGCTAAATTGATTTAATGACAATTTGGATGAACATAAACTTAATTTTGGATTTAATGTAACATTCCAATCTGTCAAAAGCATGTAAACAGAATATTTGAATCTATGTACCTCCATACAAGTGTTAGCCTACCAGGCTGTAAGCTTACCTTAATTAAACTTTCAGTGAAAGTGAAATTATTAAAATATAAATTTATATTTGTGCTTTTTTGTTAGTGTGTAAGCTGTGCAGAAATTCCTTGATGTACTAGTTGTATAAAGTAAAAACCCATTGTTGAAACTCCTGTAGGTATTATGCTTTTAATATTGCTTTAATTATCTTCTTTAGAAATAGAAATGGTCTGGAAGCCAAACCAAAGTATGGTGTAATGTAGATATTGTAAAGCAGTAAACTGAAAACATGTTATGGCATGTATTCAGTTATGTTTAAGTGACTTTTCTTTAATTATGAAATAGAAACTTCAAATGGGACCTAAAGCAGTGATGTAAAATATTGGTTTTGGGAATTTAGTCTAATTTATCCATATGATGGCTGCTAAATTCATTTTTTCCATTTTTTAAAATCATCTACAAAATAATAGATATAGAAATGAATAATACAAAGAACAGTAGTTTGCTTTGAAGTACTAATATACTTTTATTTAAAATGCTACATTTTTACTTCTTTAAATGTGCTTTGAATTCCTAAATTTTGTTTCACTGAATGTTAAATGTTTATGGCTATTAAAATTCTGCTGTATATAATAGTTTTTGAGTAAATATTTCCAATAAAAATCTGTCCCTGAATAATTTTATTTTTCAAATCACTGCTTGATCCAGATTACCTTTGGTGCCTTTAGAAATTGAATACTTGTTCAAAGAAATCTCATGTTAAAGTTAATGGTAGGATTTTATTATGTGTTATATAACTGATACATGATTTACTTTAAATTAGGACTTAATGTGCAGGGGATAATATTGCTAATATTTACATAGAATAGATTTGATTTATAAATTCTTTCACTTCAAGATAAATACAGTTTAATACCATACTTTTCTGTCTGCTCAGCAACTTAAAGATGCTAGAGGTAAAATATATTATTGTGCTATTTTCTTAAATATTTGGGGAAGGGAAACTAATATTTTCATCTTTCCTGCTCCCAAGAAAAGATAGGGAGAGAGGGACCCATTAGCTGTCATCTTTCATTTTGTTGAAATGTAAATCTATACCAGGGAAGATTTTTGGAATAATATAAACCTTAGAAGAGCAGAGAGTAAAATATCTGTCTATGTAAGGTTCACTTTCTGAGTCTCATTTAATTCATTGCCAAGCCTATATGTTACATGATGCTACAGAACTGTAGAGCACTGTGCCAAAATGAATCTCTAAGCTATGCTGTGCCAAAGCAAATCTCTAAGTGATACCATAATTCATTCCTTTTGAGCTTTGAATAGTTCCTAGTCCTGCCCCTATGTGCCTTTAGAGTCTTGGTATTCAAAATAACTGATCAGTAAACTGTTTGTACCTATCCACCATGAGAAAAGGAACCTATATCATTTGAAATAAGAATTGTACTTGGTAATATAGGTGATTTACATTCTCACACATCTCCGTTAATCATCTCCAGTGAGGAACAAACAATTTTGATAGGTTACCCAAACCATTGGTAGCAGTTCTTTAGAGAAGTGTCAGGAAACTATCTTCAGGGCCAGATAGTAAGTAATTGTGAGCCATGTGGTTGCAGTGATTCAACTCTGTTGTGTACCATGAAGGAAACTGTAGATAATGTACAAATGATGAACCTGTTACCTGTTTGTTTTCCAATAAAGCATTATTTACAAAAATAGGATAATGGCTGGAGTTGGCCCATGGAACTATAGTTTGCCTACCTTTGCTTTGGAGTGCTTAAACCAAAACAACAACAACAACAAAAAACCAGTGATGCACTCTAGAGACTGACTAAAAATTAAGTTATGAACCTTAGCATGTTATAGGTCCCTGTAACTAACAATAGAATTGTGATTGATTATACTTGCAGTTAAGAAGCATTGTATGTATTGGACAAAAGCACTTTTAATTTATATTGAAAATCTGAATACTATATTTATTTGTGTCATTTCTTCCTCTTTGCATCTCTCCAGTGTTATAGGGAAAAAACTTCAATTTTCTTTCACTCCATGAGTTTTATAAGAATGAATCTAAAACACTTGTTAACAGGAACTAACAAGGTATGCTTTGTTCTGGCTATAGGTAAAAAGAAGAGGAAACCAAATTGTCTAAGGTTAAAGGCTAGATTTGAACCCAGTTTGATTTGATTCTAAAGTTATTGTTTTTCCAGCACACCTATTGTTCCTAGCATTTATACTGAATAGTCTCTTAAAATAACAATTTTTTTTTTGCAAATAATCCTCCTATTGATGGTACTAATTGTAGTTTTATTTATTATTCTACAGTGACTATATGCATATGGAATAACTATAATAACTTCTTTTTTTTTTTTGAGTTGGAGTCTCGCTCTGTCGCCCAGACTGGAGTGCAGT